GACACTTGACACTACTGACATTGAACACTACTGACACTGCACACTACTGACACTTGACACCACTGACATTGGACACTACTGACACTACTGACACTGACACTACTGACAACGGACACTACTGATACTGAACACTACTGACACTGGACACTACTGACACTAGATACTACTGACACATGACAGTACTGACACATGACACTACTGATACTGGACACCACTGACACTGGACACCACTGACACTGGACACTACTGACAGTACTGACACTGAACACTACTGACATTGAACAATACTTACATTGAACACTACTTACACTGCACACTACTGACACTGGACACTACTGCCAGTACTGACACTGGACACTACTGACACTGGACACTACTGACACTGGACACTACTGACACTGGACACTACTGACACTTGACACTACTGACATTGAACACTACTTGACACTGCACACTACTGACACTTGACACCACTGACATTGGACACTACTGACACCACTGACACTGGACACTACTGACACATGACAGTACTGACACATGACAGTACTGACACTGGACACTACTGACACTGAACACTACTGACACTGGACACTACTGACACTGGACACTACTGACACTGAACACTACTGACACTGAACACTACTGACACTGGACACTACTGACATTGAACACTACTGACACTGTACACTACTGACACTGGAAATTACTGACACACTGTCAAGACACACCTACCACTACAAAAACACACGCCTTACAAACAGCGCACTACTTGCACTACGGACACTACGGACACAAATAACAATACTCACATAACACATAGCATTTCCGCCACACATGACATTACTGACACATTGTACACACGCCACTACACACACTTGACATACAGGACACTACTCATATACTGACACAGCACACTACTTACACACAGACATGTAAGACACTATCCATACACATGTAGGACACTACATACCCACACACTGACACAGACATATACGACACTACGTACACACTGACACGAACATAATTATAGGACTCTACACACTTACACAGACATGTAGGACACTACACACTGAAAAAAACATGTAGAACACTACCCACACACTGATACAGACATGTAGGTCACTACCCACACACTGACAAAGAATTGTAGGACACCACACACTGACACATACATGTTATTCTTAGTCATCTCATGAACACATTGACACAGACATGTAGGTCACCATGCACACACCGACAAAGACATGTAGGACACAACACACTGACACAGACATGTAGGACACTACGCACACAAACAGCTAATATGACTCACAGGGAACTACTCAAATACAGACCTTACAAACAGGACACTATGTACACAGTGAACATGACACACAGGACACTATGTACACAGCGAACATGACACACAGGACACACATAGTAAACATGACTCACAGACCATGCGTCACAGAAACTCACACAGAACACTTCGATCAGAGGACACTAGTCACATGCTGGACATGACACATATAGTGTCATCATCAGTACATTAATTTTAAATACATGTATTGATAAACAGAAGTTAAACATATTTTTCTACTGTTTTTCGAAGGGATCCTAAAACAAAGATAAATAATCTTATAATGATAGTTAATTTAAATACCCGGTATTTTGCCTCAATTTTGACATGAACAGAAAATTAAAATTTTATTTGGGCAATGGTACAAACCACCTGTGGTGAACCTGCAACAACTGGAACAAGCTCTGCATCAAGAATGGCAAAATTCACCTCTAAATCGCTATTGACACCTTACTGGTTATTTGGCTACATAATGTCATTTTAGGTTACGTAATTGTCAACATTTACCAAAAATATCCACCAGTAAATGTTTTGTAAACGCTCCAACACCATACTTATAAACACTTTCATTTTCGGTTAAAAAACATATTTGCTTATGCGTCAATAATTTTGTTAAGAATAAACTAAACTCATAAATTTACTGGTCAATGATTACTAACTTTGTATCGCTACTTATCTTATTATTATTTCTTAGTCATCTCATGATAGTGCTTTTAATAACAGCCAATTTCAAATTTCTGAGGTGTGCTTAACTTAATTCCATGTGTATATATAATTTAATGCTTGAACTTTTGACATTATCTCCAAGGAACATACATTATGGAAAAAAGAAATACTTTTATATGATAAGTGAACGACAGCTTTTAGTAATTTATGTTATATTATTTGATTAAGATTGAAACGTTGATGTGATTCCACATAGGCATTTTGGATTTTTTTTCTCGAGATTTATTTACAATTTCTCGAAGGCCATGACCAATAACATGACTTAGAATAATTACTTACTCTTAATTATCTTTATTGTGAAAAATAACTAAAAAACATGTTTTTTTAAAACTATGAAGTTAAAAATCACACTAACATGCGATTTTCAAATTAAAGTCTGTTGTTACTGTTACTTCTTCACATCTTTCCTATTTAGTTCCCAGATGATTTAAGACATTCAAACGGACGGTTTTATACGGAGTCCCTTTAAGACGAAAAATATATTAAAGCCGTGTCATGACAAAACCAACATAATGGGTTTGCGACCAGCATGGATCCAGACCAGCCTGCGCATCCACAGGATCCATGCTGTTCGCTATCAGTTTCTTTACTTGTTATAGGGTCTGTAAGCGAACAGCATGGATCCTGATCAGACTGCGCTGGTCTGGATCCATGCTGGTCGCAAACCCATTATGTTGGTTTTGTCGTGACGCGGCTCATTTTTCCATACCGGTTTTTTTTTTCAAAAAAGTCTTTAAAAGGACAAACAACTAAATATGAATTTTATGCTTCATTTATAAATCCTTGTTTTAAAGTGGACTTTTCTTCATTGGGCACATGTTCCTTAAGTATTGTAAATATTGATGATAAAACAAACAATGAAAATGTACCATTTGAACAATCTTTATTTTTGGATAAAATGAAACATTTGTATGATAAATGATAATATCCTGTTCTAGAACAATTTATCTCATGTTATATATAGATGTATAATATATTATGTATTTCACATTTGTTCTGTCAATAAAGGTTAATTAAACAAATATTTCTTTCCTTATTTGTTTTGTCACCCAGCCCATTGCTAATAGAGATGTGGCTGGCACATTCAGCCAGTCAACTAACACCTATGTACGTAATCAGACATTAAGCCCAAGCTTATCATGGTTTAATAACATGTTTAAACTAATCATAGCTACACCAGGGGTCCGCTTCACACTTTACGGTTTCCCGTGAGGACCATCGCGACGAACACATAACTCGAAACAACGAAAACACGAAAATACGATGATGAAAAGACGATCATTTCATCGTCGTGGTTTCATTGTTTCGTTATTTCGACTTTTCATCATCGTACTTTCGACTTTTCACCATCGTGTTTTCAAGTTATATGTGTGTGTGTCGCGATGGCACTAACGGGACACCGTAATAGTCGTATTTTTAATGTCACTCGTTGCTAAGTAAAACTGCGTGTACGTCATCACAAGGTGGACAAAGCAGTCATTTCATTAACATTGCTTCATTTTTTGCATTATAGAGTTGTCTTTTTATGGTGTCAAAAAAGGTGATACGATGCCATTATTGTAGACAATTGTTTCCAAACAGCTCTACATCTGCTAAGCTGGTTACGTATAAAAAAGATAACGTCGGCAGACAAGTTACAATGAATCCCTGTAAAAGTTTAATATTGCATTTGAAAAACAAAATATATAGCGCCGTTTTAATGCATTTTGATGTTCATTTTTTGGGATCCATTCTTGATAAAAGTTCAAGCTGATCAGAACATAAGAAGTCTTTTGAATACTTTACCTTAATTATCTATCATAACCAAATCGTATTATAAAAATAATAACTGCAAGCCTTTGCATACAAATTAAGTTAAAGTTGTGTGGTTTTGTTTGAAATTAGCTATAGCATCATTATTTAATTCGACTTTTATAACTATAAGCATGTGTGCAAGGAAATGATAGAATGGAAATTAGTTTATAGATTGTGACAAAACTACCGCAGCGCTGTGTATAATGACAAGGGGGTCCTGCTGAGAAATTCAATTAATGAATAATCAAATTCACGTGGATATGTTATAAGTTTGATCTAAAAACAGTCCAAATATTGATCTTACAGGTTGAAAAATTCTTTTTTATTATGAGTTTTTATCAATATACCTTGTAAATCAGTTTTCTTCCACCCAAATTTGAAAAAAGGTCAATAAAAGCGAAGTCTTTGTTAAATGACCTTCACTGGTATAAACATTCAATACATTTGTATATTGACCTAACTTGCTAAAATTGTATAATTACTCGTTAAATCACCTTCAAAATCACAACATGGTTTTTTTCACGTTATTATTTACAAATTGTTTAAAAAAGCACTCTTCTGTCGATATAATTACGTTTCTGTTTAAAATGTGACTTTAAGTGACATTTCAATTTATGTGGGTTTCAAAGTTAAATATAACTTTAATGATTACCGATCAATGCTATTGGATTTTTTATGTAAAGTCGTTGTTTGTTTTTGCTGGGTTTTTTTTAAGTTTTATCTTTGTGAACTTTATAACAAGTTATTTTTTTATTATTCAGAAGTTAACTATAACAACGTTTTTTTGTTGTTGTTGTTTTTTGTCAACACATTCAGTACTCATAAGATTGGTAAAGACTTTTAATTAATTAATCAATTATTATAATGCTATTGTGATAATATTTTATTGTTATTGTTATCATTATTGAATAAGAGTGATTGGCGTGGTAATCTATATTTCTTTGACAGTACTTCTCGTATATTTCGATTTCACGAATAAATCTGTTTCGGCATGGACACGTTTCGAATTGTTTATCTCAGCGATTTTCTAGTGTTAAGAATTTTCAGAAAGAATGTTTGACAGCGACTTCCTTGTGTAAAGGAGATTTCGGTCAGAGTGTTTGACCTGTGTTCTTTTCATCGCTTTCTGTGTCATTAAACAATACGTTTTACTTTATGAAAAGGTATATTGAAGCATGACTTGTTGACGCCCTAGTAACGTTGCAATAACTGGACTTATTCAAGTATATTAATGAAGATGGTTCTTCTGATTTGTACTGATATTCTATGATAGCTCGAAATTTGAGGAAATATGGCTCATCACTTCAAACGATTTAAAATAAAATTCTAACGACTGACTGGTTTCTTATTTGAATTTTACGGTTGCCTGCATTTCAGAAATGCCACTAAAGAAGGGGATAGTGGGTTTAATTCCGGCAGCAATCGTTATCTTGTTTTTATCATTAGCCATTGGTGTGACTAAATGGCAGGACAAGGTTGATGATTTGACGGTTTATATTGAGCATGAAAGATATGCTGATTTATGGGAATTCTGCAACCGGACAATTTTGACTTATTCTAAGTCGACGGGTTCTGGTCTGGGGTCTGAAACAGTCAGGGAAACGTCGCCAACATCATGCGCCGACATTGCTGACGTCTGTAAGTATGATATTTACAATGTTTTATAATACTGCAAGATTGTAACGTTACTTTTCATTGGATAATCGTGACTTTTACGAGTGTATGGCTTTATATACACGGCTGCTGTCAATTTATGAAGAAATCTCTCTTTTCTCCGTTTGCTTTTCTATAAATTCGTTATAAATATTCCTGAAAGGTTATATGACAGTATATGGACGGTTGTTTGCAATATAACCCACGCTTAGCGACCGTCAAATTTCGCTAACTTTGTACACAGCATTGCTTATTAGGAGATCGAAACATTTGAATGTCCGACTATGCCATGAGCAGTTTAAACCATGCCAGGAATTGAGAATTACCGGTACATTTAGCCAGTTCGCATAGCTCAATTGGTTAGAGCGCGAGACTTGTAATCTCTACATTGTGGGTTCGATTACCGGGCTTGCCAACTAAAATTACTTATCAGTCTTTAGGATGAGTTCCGTGTATGAGTGCTTAAACACTTGGCACGTTATAGAACCAGGAGAAGCTTCTGCCATGTAATAAAGGAATCTTACTATATCTTGCACCATCCTCCGAAATATAAAAATGACTTATACTCTTCCAGAGGACTCGCCCATATGGGCAACCGCTGGCAAGTATAAATTTACTCAAACACACGCCCGCGCGCACGCACGCACGCACACACACACACACACACACACACACATAAATCCCAATCACATTACAGTGCCGAAAAACGCCGAATGTCAGAACGGTAACATTATTTCTGATTCTTTTATTTGATATATATTCTGTTTCATAACTTGATTATATGATATATTAGTCAGATAAATGTGCGTGTTAGTGTAAGATATTCTTTAGTGATTGACTCAATCTTATCTCAATGTTGCATTTTGTCATAATTCAGTCACAGCCAGGATGACTAAGTTCAACAATATAGTAAAGAATGTAATGTTTGCTGCTCTTGCCTGTATTGTTATAGCCTGCCTGGGAATCTTGGTGAAGTATTTCATATTGAAGGAATGGATACACGAGAAATTACAGATCAGACTTGGTTTTATATCTGCTGCCATGGCTTTTTTCTCAGGTACATATATGCATCCAGATTGATACAGATGATAGGGGGGATTCGTGTATCAGCATATAAAGAATGCTCATTAATAGTTTGATTTTAAAGCTAGTTAATTAATATTTGGTCCTCTTAAAATGAAGCATGGGTGATAAGTTAAGCTATTGAAATAAAAGATTATGATGATGATAATGATGATAAAGAAGCTGACGAAGAATAAAAAGAATATAGTAATGAAGATGATGAAGAAGAAGAAGAAGATGATGATGATGATGATGATGATGATGATGATGATGATTATGATGATGGTGTTGGTAACCACAGTCTTATCATACAAACCTTTTACTTTATTGATGTATCCATTTAAAACGTTTTTGCTCATGGACCTCTAAACTTTGAATAGTTATACCTTGTTGTACTTTGCAGGTGCTCTAGCTATAGTGGCGTTCGGTGTGTATAACGTTGAAGTTAAATATGAAGGATTTACTCCCCATGCCGGTTTTTATCTGACCTTGACAACAGGAATATTATCGTGGATATCTTCGGTTTTGTTTCTTTCGAGTAGCCTTTGTATTGGAGCGAGCATGTACCCGGATATGACGTAATAGGTTATGTCGATACAGAAGAATTTCTTTCACCAATAATAAACTGCATTTACAAAACATTTTGCTGGAACAAAATGTTACGTTAAGATAGATATAAAAAGCGTGACCTGATTTATTGCTATTCATTGTGAAATAATTGAATTCATTTTTCTTTAATGTATATTTAGTAAGCAAATAAAAATTTATGATATTATCATATGGTTTGTATGTTATTGAAAAATAGTTCTAATTGAAGCATGTCATCTAAATCCTGTATATTCTTTGGAGTGAAAACCCCTGTTGCATTGGCTATTTTGAATAATTATAGGGTAACTTTGAGGTTTAACGGATCACAATTTCAACATGTATTATTTTAGGATATAGTTGTTTAACTGAGCCAAGAATGTTCGGGAATCTCCAAAGATTATAAAGATATGTTCACATGTGTTTTGCCTTTTTCACTTTGGTAGATTAGTAATGTATTTGGAGCTGTGAAATAATAGGCCTAGCATTGACCGAAATATGGCATTTATGCCCGTAAATTGTTCTTTAACTTTCAAAATTTAGCAGTAAGGCAGTAATTACATCTACACACGCAATGATTAACTGGCATATAGATCTACGTAAAAATGCTATTGTATAGCAAGGGGACATAACTGACAACTCTCGAGTGATATTAGGGTATTTTTACAATAAAACCCGCGCCCTCTACATAAAAACTTCTTTGATTATTTTAGAGAGAGGATAAACTGCAAAATTTGAATCTTGAAAATTCATGTTATTAAGATTGTCAATTTTGAAAAAAAAAGAAAACAAGACCAATACATACAGCGAGAAAAGGGTTAAAGATGTGCATGGTAGTTTCAATTTACAAATCAATATTGTAAATGTGCTATTCACCCGCTTCTTTATTAAAACGCATAAAGAGCTAAATTAACAAAATGTTTATTTTACACATTACGTACTTTTCAACAAAAGCTGTTTAAGATGTGATTAAAGGGTTTTGTAAAATAGCTATTTACAAATTTGATATATCAAAAATTACTTGTTATGAAGTTCGGTTATTGATAATATTGATTATTATATTGATATAAGCGGGCTTTAAGCCTTATATTGAAGAAAATATTTATTTATGATTAAATTTATTTTAGATACAAAACTATGGCGTTTTATGAACGGATATTTATGCTGAAATATAAAATGCCTATATTTTTATGTTAGACATAATCATGTGTCTTTTATGTAAGACATATATAATGTATTTGATCACAAGGGAATTAATCCTTTTCAAATTCATGTAACGTTAAACAGAGAGTGCTTAAATATCATGGAATGGCTTAGAAATGGTTAGGATTTGAAAAACTGAATAATTGGATATTTCTGTGTTAATAATTAAGAATAAATATCCTGGTAATAATGTAACAACTGCGATCACGTGTCATATGTAATAATATTTCAGTGCGTTCGTTGTTGGTGTTGTTTTTGTTCTATCAATTTAGCCGAATGATTATGACTACGATGAGAATGTAATGCTTTTAAAAATAAAATGAAGGACAAAATAAATCAATCCGGTTAATTAATACAACGATGTAAATATCTCTAAACGTACCTAAAGCAGACGAAACTTTTATATGTACCACTCTCACGTGCATTATTGATTGTTGGTGATGTCACCGAAGGCGGGGCTTATCGGGCTTATACCAGCATTAACCGCTATTTCATTTCTAGCAGTGGCGATTGGCGTGGATAAGTGGCAGTATAAGAACGAGCAGGTTTCTAAGTACGTGGAATTTCAAGGTCACGGTGGGTTGTGGAAGTTTTGCAATGACACAACAAGGACCTATTCCCAGTCGATTGGGATGAATGTAGTCACAGTAAAAGAGACTTTGATTTCCGTCTGTTATGATTTTACTGATATTTGTAAGTATAGCAGCAAAAGAATAATTAAAAATATTTGTTTTTCAATATTAAGATAAGTTTTCCGATGCAATTGCGAAATACATTTTGTTGGAAATAGCATTGGGATGGGCTCCTTACGTATTGAGGAAGATTGAAATTTGTACTTATGTGAAATTAAATATACTACAGAAAACAATGCATCATACATTTGTCTCTTAAATTTCACTTTATGGTATGATGGCTGATTTGGTACACTTTGCGCGTTGCGTTGTCGATAGCGACCACACAACCTATATCATTATCACCTTTTCGTCTTGTCGACAGCGCGTTGTCGGACTTTCGTTTAGTCGTCATGATGTCGCTAACGATGCACGCCAAACGGCGCGTTGCCGTGCGACGTGTTGTCGCAATGACACATTGTCTCTCGGCTCAAATCGAAGGATTGGCTATTTGTATGTATAATATATATGAGCCGCGTCATGACAAAACCAACATAATGGGTTTGCGACCAGCATGGATCCAGACCAGCCTGCGCATCCGCGCAGTCTGATCAGGATCCATGCTGTTCGCTTACCAACTCTATTACAAGTAGAGAAACTGATAGCGAACAGCATGGATCCTGATCAGACTGCGCGGATGCGCAGGCTGGTCTGGATCCATGCTGGTCGCAAACCCATTATGTTGGTTTTGTCGTGACGCGGCTCATATAATATATTATATATCATGCACCACCATGAAAACGTGTAATGTATTTATATAAGATCACGAATATGGCGATAATTAGACATATAATACGGTGCGTGGTGTTAATTTGTTCATGTAATTGTATACCTTAATATTCTAAATAATCTAAACTGATAAGGGGATTATAAAAACATTATAATTATTATTTTGTCTGAAGGGGATTTTCTAATATTGCTAAAAAAGACCTTGCCGGCTTTTATAAGTACATATATATCAAACGCATTTACAATGTAACCTGGTCAAATGCATTCATTAGAAAGGTTATCAATTCGAATTATAATTCCAACTACATGTATAATCCTTTGTAATTACATTCCAGGTTCTCAAAGAATGTCATATTACCTAAGTGTGGTACAGTATGCTCTGTTTGCTAGTATAGCCTTTATGTTTCTGGGAATTCTTTTGATACTCGTAAAACATTGCCTGCTGAAGGAATGGAAGCACGAGAAACAACAGATGGTGTTGGGGTTCATCTCTGCGGCGTTTGCCTTTCTAACAGGTAATTCTTTATTTGTTAAAAGCTAACTGTATCCTGATGTATTAGATTTTCTTAAATTCTGCTGTGTAATGTCATATTTTCGTACATCTGCACGTTACCTTGAAATTGAACCTGGTCGATACAGTGGAGCAGATGAGCATTTAGAATATGTAAATTATGTCAAGTTGAGGTAGAAGATGAGTACCATTTCTTATTAAAATGTTCTAGACTTTCAAACAGTCGAACACAATTTATTCCTAGAAAGTTTCACGACAAACAATGTTTTCAATCTATTGTCTTTCTGCTGAGTAGCAGAAACGATGCACTGATTAAAATAGTGTTATATATATTTATTATGCTCAATTAGAAAGAAAACGTATACTTGAACAACTTAAGAAATACAAATGAAAGAACTGATATGATTGGATTTGCTGGTGTGTCGCAGATAGCATTGTATTTATATGTATTTATGTCATTTGTTGATCTTGGACCGATGTCTTTTTTTGCCATTGCCATTGTTAAAAGCTATTCGTCAGTAGCCATTGCTACTTTTACCGACCTATGGAGAGTGGAAGCTTACTTTGTACTAAATATATAATAGCTGTGTTTACAACAGTAGTGTATAATAATTGCTACACCAAGAAGCTTATTTCCATTGGTTAATGGTCACAAATGGGTAACTGTTGCCATCTTGGACGCCCTCTTGAATTTCTTGGCCGGCACCAAATTTCTGATTTGGGGTGTATTATCAGTCAGCCAGTTTGTACATGTATTACCTTTTAGTTTAAACACTATTTTATTTATAAAGATTTCATTTACATGGTATTTGACAAATAATACATTGCACGGATTGAGTAGGAAGCTTGTAAAGCTATTTTAGAAACTCTCTGTATGCTTTTACTACAAAATAGTGTATGCATACTGATTCAAAATGACCTTTTTATACTTTAAGAGACTACCTTAAGGTAATTTTTCATACAACTCCATAAATAAGGTGCCAAACTATAAGTGTCCCATTTTAGTAGAAAACTGTGCAGGGTGTCTAACATCTGCGATGTCATGTATTATGATACAAACTTCTGTATTCAGTTAATATTTTGATTGGCATAATTTCAATAATTGACGGGATCCAAAAATCAGGAAAACGAAATACAAAACTAGGTTCGCTTCGCAACTTTCTTTCTGAAGTGAGGCAGTAAAAGCTAAAAAAAATACAATAGTTTGTTTTCTTTTCAGGTATTCTCGCAGTATTAGCGTTTGGGATATTTCATGTAGAACTGGTGTTAGATGGTTATTCTCTTCATGCTGGATTTTACCTTACTGTGATAGCGTGGCTGTTGTCATGGGTTACTGGGTCAATATTTCTAGTGGATAGTATTTGCATTGGAGCTAAAATGTATCCGGACTTGAAATAAATTGTTACCAGTAGCCACAATGTACTGATACAAGGGCATTTTACCATAATAACATTTTGTACATACTCTATTATTATTGTTTGTTCCAGTCTTACTTTACATTCAAAAAGAAACCCTGTTTAACTGTTTTGCAATCCAGACACCATGATATTCCGGTCTGGGTTTCATAGAAAGTCCTAAGTCTGAAATTATAGAAAGTCCTAAGTCTGAAATCAGTCTTATGACCAAAACTTAAACAGTTTTGCGTTTCAAAAAAAAAATGTACCCTATAAAAAGAAAACATAAGACCCCTATGCTATGACTCTTAATTTCTGAATAGCAATGCTGATAGGCATTTACACATTGCGAGTAAAAGGTTCTGTCATTGTATTTCTTAACTTTTTTTCCGGAGAATGAATTCATTTATAGTATACAGTATTTGACTGAAGATAAAGATATTTATTGAAATGGTCTTAAGTTAGTTCTAAAGTTGATTTTATGTCTTAGGACTTAGGATACACTGAGGACTTTCTATGAAAGGCAGACCAGTTCACTTAAATTGATAAGGACGGTACAACAAAAATCCCATTTAGCATGCGCCAATTGTTACAGTTATTGAGAATAATAGCAACTGTTAAATCATTACTTTTTATGCAAAAAGTACTCAAAACCGAGCATGAGTACAATAAATATTTTGTTGCTCATGGTTTAACGGTTTTATCAAAATATTGCTCAAAATATCTTCTGACCCTAAGATAACCTGCTGGAATCTGCAGTGTTAAGCTGTAACCACGACTCACGAGCACCAAGCCGTGTCAGTCAGCTGGCTTTATGAACTATAAGCTGACTAAGTGTTCATCTTAATATCCCCAAAACTGTAACTGGACAGTTCCTAAAATGATGTAGGACAAGTCCATTAAACAAGAGCTGGCGGTAGGACAGCAACGCTCGACTATTCTTAGTGCTTGTTAGTAAAAAAAAATGCTTGATAGAGTTACCTCCTCCTGTTTACAGGTTGGGGTCATGATGGTGAACAAGTGTGCAAAGTTTCAAAGCCATATGTCAATGGACTTTGAAAATATTTGAACTATTACAAAAACTTTAACGTAAATTCTAAGTCTAAAAAGGGGCATAATTCTGTCAAAATGCTTGATAGAGTTACCTCCTCCTGTTTACAGGTTGGGGTCATGATGGTGAACAAGTGTGCAAAGTTTCAAAGCCATATGTCAATGGACTTTGAAAATATTTGAACTATTACAAAAACTTTAACGTAAATTCTAAGTCGAAAAAGGGGCATAATTCTGTCAAAATGCTTGATAGAGTTACCTCCTCCTGTTTCCAGGTTGGGGTCATGATGGTGAACAAGTGTGCAAAGTTTCAAAGCCATATGTCTATGGACTTTGAAAATATTTGAACTATTACAAAAACTTTAACATAAGTGGTTACGCCGACGCCGACGCGGACACCGACGCTCGGGCGACTGCAATAGCTCTACTTATTCTTATCGAATAGTCGAGCTAAAAATTAAGCAGGCTAAGGGTTAAGACAGTTATCTATACAACATACACTATCATGGGTACAAGTTCAAAATTTCTGAAAGCCTAAAAACTCTGAGCATCAAGTTAATTGGTTCTTTAAAGTGAGCTTGCTTTCAGGGGTATAAAAACCTGGACTTCAGACGAATGCCTGAAAATTTGTACCCATGCACTGTTCAAGTAGATTGTACTTATATCTGCTAGGAACAAGTACCTCTCCAGTGTAATCAAAGTTTAGGGGAAAATTAATTAAAAACTAGCTTCCAGTAATTCAAGCAGTAACTATAGAGGTAAGCCAAGAGCTTGTACATGTATATAGTATTGAAAATATGACATTGAAAATTTTCATGATGGTATTACTTTGTCATATATTTTTTTCTTTCTATTTTGGTTAACATTTAAACAACATGAACTCCATCTAATGAGACATTCAAGTCTTCCTGGTAGAGGAAGACCTATGGTACACCCCCGTACATTTTGTCGGGCCAAAGTGAGCACATGAGTAGAAGCAACATCTTTCTATAAAAACTCAGTCACTGGGGAAGATAGGGAAGTAGGGCTCAAACAGGGATTTATATGTAATTAAAGTCCGTGGTTCAAAACACCAGCAGGAAGGAGAAAGCAACTGAAAGTCAAAGCTTAAACAAATCTGTCATAGTCATCGCCTAATCATAAATGAGCATCTGGTTAGAACAAGTGTGCTTACCTAAAAAAACATAAAATTATTTGTTCGTTTCTAGGTTCGAACCCAAATAGGAAATGTTCAACAGGTTTAAAGCCAGCTACTAAAACCATGTGGCCACAGTGACACAAAGTCAGTGCCTCTAAGAATACAGGTTAGAATAAAGTCATTGGACAAAACCTTCTGTAACACACTATTCTTTTACTAATATTTATTTGTGCCACACATGCATGACTTAGTCTTTAAGTATACATAAGTATAGAAGGTAAAAAATTATCACAAAATGAACACAAGTAATCCTTGTAATAAAAAATGTAAAAATCAGTTTCATTCAGTAATCATTATTTAAATTTTTATAGTATTTTCGGTCCACGCGGTCACAAAATTGCACAAGGTTATCAAATCTTTGAATGATCAACGCAAATTCTCTGTTTGGCAGATCAGTGGTCAACAATGTAAATAGATGTCCGAATACCAGTGCATCTAATTCTGTAGGTCTGAAATAAAAACGGAAAAATTGAAAAAGAATACATATAGAGCATTTACTACACTGGAGGTTTGATTTTTTAATGTGGGGATCTGGGGCCACGCCCCCTCCATGCCCTCATTGCACATCAGATAACCTCATGTTTCAATGCTCTTTCTTCTATTACATGTCAGACATAACCATCAATAACTTGTGATAAAGATACAAATATCTTGCTTCATTTTACCATTCAAAACTTATGTAACACTATAATTTACATTAAAAGATTCAAGTTCTCTAGTGCCTATTTTTTTTGGGGGCACAAATCATAATCTACTCTTTGAAAAAAGACCTACATATATTCAATTTACTTTTTCCCAAAGTGAAAATACAGTTTATAATGCTTAAAGGCCCATTTATCTCAAAAATGCTATTATTTCATTTACAAATAACTTTATTTTTGGTATCCTGTTATGATATGCAAGAAAAAGAATTCCTCAATAACTTAGCTGAAGCTAATCTTTCGCATTTAAGCATTAAGTACAATTATAGTGATTTTGTATATTGTATGAAATTAAAAATTCTACTTCTTAATTTTCTACCTATATGAGAAATCATTTCACATTCAGCACTGCGAACATCGAATGATAAGCGTCTACTATGCTTTAAAGCCATTCTGTAACATATGCTTGTCTCTTTTAAAGAAAAATATTACTCATTTATTAGGCATGGTATTATGCGCCTTTAACAATTTTCAAAGTCATTAAAGGCTTTTTTATCTAAACAAAAATCATCCCCCTTTCAAAAGAAACTGTCTGGTTTATCTTTTAAATTAAAGCAACTTTCAGCTTTTACTTTCTGTTGAAAAAACCCAACAATTCTGTATTCTTTCAAACTATATATTTCAGTAATTTTATCTTGAAAAAGTGCATCATATTACTGTTAAGCCTTCTTTAAAACTGTGTTCAGAGAGCTATTTATAACGTGTCAATGATTTTCGTTTCTAAAAATAAAAAATCGGGAAACGAATGTTCAGCTTTACTTATTTCAATATAGAGAGCAGACCCGTAGATTAGAGGTATCAAGTGGTTTCCTTATTCTTTATGTATTTTATCGTCAGCAAATTTCTTTTTCCACATTAATTTTTTTGAATTGGCAATAATATATGAAATCATTTACATGTACCTAAAAATAACATATTTAACCTTTAGAAAAACTGAAGGCCGCTTTAAGCTCTATCCAAAGTTTAGTTCAGTTTATCCATAAAACTTACCTTTTCCCAAAGAAAAAGTCTTGTTTATCGAGTCTTTCTGATAGAGCCTGACAGCATGTCAATACTTCATCACATACCTGATAAAGGCAAGAAGAAATAACTTATTTAAATATGTTGCCCATGAGCAATTTGTAAGGTTGTTATACCATTATTTCTGAGTAACATGTTTCTAAAATAGATGTAAATATACTAGAGTGTGATATTATGAAGAAGAGTTTAACACAGCACTGTGATCATATGACATACATTCTTATTTTTTTTATTGTCCTTGTCATACGATGGTGAAGGGTCTAGGGCATCCTAAACAGCACCTTACAATGTCATTTCATGTATAATTATAAACTGTTTACAATGACGAGAAACAATTATATAAGATACATGTATATAAGAAAAACAATAAACATACAAACAAAACAAACTTGCCCATAACTTGACATACATGTACATTCTTCCTTAATAACTGCTAAAACTTAACCAAAGTAAGATGCCAACGCAAGGGTGAGTACAATTTTAGCTCTCCCAGTTTCTTCGAACAGTGAAGCTAAAACACCTTGGCTTTGGAACAACTGTTTTAATAATTATCCAACAATCAACATTCATTGAAAATAAGATACCAATATCATCAATAAAATGAACCAAAATAAAATAATTTTGTTATTAACAAAAAACAAAAACAAAAAACAAGAAAAAAAACACGATCATTATATACCTCGTCAAATGTTTTTTCCGCCCATTCAAGACCAGCAAGACGCTGCTTCACTTCACGCTGTTTCTTCCACGGCAGAAGTTTATTTAGTGGCCAAGGATGCATACTGCCATATCTAGGTTTTGTTACCTGAGAACAAAACATAACTGTTTAATTAGGAATCTGGGTATAATAACCTGAGAAAAAAGTTCACAGTTTATAATTTTAATTTACTTGTGAAAATTAATCATAAAATTTCAGTAGTTCAGTTACCTTGATTAAAAAAACATCACAGGATTTCTTTACATTTATATATCTTCAAAAAATGTTGCAGTATCTCACATTTAGAATGAAAAGAAATAAAATTGAATGAAAGAACTGAAAGCAAAATGATAATCATAGTAATAACAAGAACTGTCGGAGGACAGATACGCTCGACTATTCGAAAATTTGTCACAAGGGTGTTTCATTGAGTATAATAATGCTTACCTATATGAATACATAAATTGTCCGAAAAGGTACAAACTCTTCAAGTTTCAATACATTCCCTTCAGTAGTTATGGAGATACCAGCTTACATGCAAAAACTTAACCAAGAATTTCTAAGTCGAAAAAGGGGCATAATTATGTAAAAAAGCAAATCAGAGTTATGGGACTTGTGGCAATTATCTTAGATAATCACAGAGAACAAGTGTGTGAAGTTTCAATCCATTCCCTTCAGTAGTTATGGAGATACCAGCTTACACGCAAAAACTTAACCAAGAATTTCTAAGTCCAAAAAGGGGCATAATTATGTAAAAAAGCAAATCAGAGTTATGGGACTTGTGCCAATTATCTTAGATAATCACAGAGAACAAGTGTGTGAAGTTTCAATCCATTCCCTTCAGTAGTTATGGAGATAACAGCTTACATACAAAAACATAACCAAGAATTTCTAAGTCGAAAAAGGGGCATAATTATGAAAAAAAGCAAATCAGAGTTATGGGACTTGTGCCAATCATCTTAGATAATCACAGAGAACAAGTGTGTGAAGTTTCAATCCATTCCCTTCAGTAGTTATGGAGATACCAGCTTACATACAAAAACTTAACCAAGAATTTCTAAGTCGAAAAAGGGGCATAATTATAAAAAAAAAACCAAATCAGAGTTATGGGACTTGTGCCAATCATCTTAGATAATCAAAGAGAACAAGTGTGTGAAGTTTCAATCCATTCCCTTCAGTAGTTATGGAGATAACAGCTTACATACAAAAACTTAACCAAGAATTTCAAAGTCAAAAAAGGGGCATAATTATGAAAAAAAGCAAATCAGAGTTATGGGACTTGTGCCAATCATCTTAGATAATCACAGAGAACAAGTGTGTGAAGTTTCAATCCATTCCCTTCAGTAGTTATGGAGATACCAGCTTACATACAAAAACTTAACCAAGAATTTCTAAGTCGAAAAAGGGGCATAATTATGAAAAAAAGCAAATCAGAGTTATGGGACTTGTGCCAATCATCTTAGATAATCACAGAGAACAAGTGTGTGAAGTTTCAATCCATTCCCTTCAGTAGTTATGGAGATACCAGCTTACATACAAAAACTTAACCACAGGGACGCCGACGCCGACAAATGGGTGACTGCATTAGCTCGATTATTCTGCGAATAGTCGAGCTAAAAATGTTCTTTCAATAAAATAGTATTTTAGCAGAATATAACAAAATTTCTTTGCAGTATAACTAACATGGAAAACAAATATCATATTGTTTCCATTTTATGCCCTCCAACCCTACCCCACCATCTTATTAGCGACCCCCACAACAATTTCATAACTGAATCATTGAACCATGACAAAATTGTATCTTTAATAAGAATATTTTAAAGCACATTTCTTATATTTCTTATTAGCCCCCCCCCCCTTAAAAAATGCAAGCACCAGGGGGTGTTTAATAGGAAAAATACAGAAAATACATTAAGCAGAATTTAATTAATTCAATGTAAAGATTTACAAAGCAATCAAATCATGTATCACAAAATAAAACTATATCACCTCCTCTGAAACATCTTTATTCAACCATGCCAGGTAATGTTCCGCATTGACCAAGGTGTTCCCTATTAATGCCATATAAGCTTTCAACTCAGACTTGTGGATGTCCGTCAACTCTGAACTCAATAAAAAACCCTGCAAACAAGTATAAAATCTAAAGTTAACACATTTGTAGATAGTTCTCTCAGGAAAAGCAGATAAAAAATACATTATACCTATATAACTCTTTTATGTTACCATACGTGTTTGTTTATCTTTTACTACATTTCTTAACAAATTTTTAGTCATATCTCAGCATTCAGTCCACTTAAATTACCGCCTTTCCTGGATAAACAAGCAATTATCATAGTATTGCAAGCAGAGCTGCATTACTGGTACTGGTACTGGTACTGCAGTACGTACTGCAGCAATTTTGCAAGTACTGGTACTGATACTGAATTACTCTTACAAAATTTTGCTACTACTGGTACTGGTACTGCATTACTGTCTTAACTAGAACTGCCACTATCATGGCTTGAATACCCCCGCATACCACTTTGTCAGAATAAACAGTGGCCATTTAGAGCTCAAGGACAACCTCCCTGCCAAATCTGAGGTTACTAAAACAGTGCATTGCTAAGTTATGTATTCTACACGCTTCAAATGTCAAAATCAATACATTGCGGACAGGACATTCTTTAGCAATTGAGAAGAAAAGCTTTTTTTTTGTCAAGGTCCCTGTGACCTTGACCTTTGACACAGTGACCTCAAAATCAATAGGGGTCACCTTATAGTCATGATCAACATCCATACCAAATATGAAGACTGTGGGTCAAAGGAATCTTAAGTTAATTGGTAGACAAACTTTTTGAAGTCAGAGTCCCTATGACCTTGACATTTGATCCAGTGACCTCAAAATCAAAAGGGGTCATCTACTAATCATGATCAACATCCATGCCAAATATGAAGACTGTGGGTCAAAGGAATCTAAAGTTATTGGGCAGACAAAGTTTTTGAAGTCAAAGTCCCTGTGACCTTGACCTTTGACCTGCTGACCACAAAATCAATAGGGGTCATCTACTAATCATGACTAACCTCCATGCCAAATATGACAACTGTAGGTCAAAGGAATCTTAAGTTATTGGACTGACAAGCTTTTTGAAGACAAGGCCCCTGTGACCTTGACCTTTGACCTGCTGACCTCAAAATCAATAGGGGTCATCTACTAATCATGACTAACCTCCATGCCAAATATGACAACTGTAGGTCAAAGGAATCTTAAGTTATTGGACTGACAAGCTTTTTGAAGACAAGGCCCCTGTGACCTTGACCTTTGACCTGCTGACCTCAAAATCAATAGGGGTCATCTACTAATCATGACTAACCTCCATGCCAAATATGACGACTGTAGGTCAAAGGAATCTTAAGTTATTGGACTGACAAGCTTTTTGAAGACAAGGCCCCTGTGACCTTGACCTTTGACCTGGTGACATCAAAATCAATAGGGGCCATCTACTAATCATGACTAACCTCCATGCCAAATATGAAGACTGTAGGTCAAAGGAATCTTAAGTTATTGGGCAGACAAGCTTTTTGAAGTCAAGGCCCCTGTGACCTTGACCTTTGACCTAGTGATCTCAAAATCAATAGGGGTCATCTACTAATCATGACTAACCTCCATGCCAAATATGAAGACTGTAGGTCAAAGGAATCTTAAGTTATTGGGCGGACAAGCTTTTTGAAGTCAAGGCCCCTGTAACCTTGACCTTTGACCTAGTGACCTCAAAATCAATAGGGGTCATCTACTAATCATGACTAACCTCCATGCCAAATATGAAGACTAAGGGTCAAAGGAATCTTAAGTTATTGGGCGGACAAGCTTTTTGAAGTCAAGGCCCCTGTGACTTTGACCTAGTGACCTCAAAATCAATAGGGGTCATCTTCTAATCATGACTAACCTCCATGCCAAATATGAAGACTAAGGGTCAAAGGAATCTTAAGTTATTGGGCGGACAAGAAAAAACCGACGGCCGGACGGACAGCCAGACGGACAAGCTGATTCCAGTATACCCCCCTTACAACTTTGTTGTGCGGGGGTATAAAAAGTGGTACTGCTACTGCATTACCCAGTACTTTTGGTTTGATAGAAATTAAAAATAGCATCAATTTTCCTCATAAAATAAAGCTGTAAATTACATTAACTATATTTTATTTTTGTGAAAAAGTAAGTTATCAAATCTAAAGATAATTTGCTGCAATATTCCTTCAAATGTTAACATAGTATTCATCATAAAAAGCACCAAAGACTTTAAGTTAATAAACAGACTCAATAACTCTTTACCCTAAAATATCCTTATTAAAATCATTACTTTGTATTTACTAGTAAAAGAGCAAAATAAACAGTAATTAATTTCTTCTATTCTACATAATCCCATTTCAAGTGAAAAAAGTGACATTGTTAGCACCATAAAAAGTTGTCATTTACTTTGGTATAAATTGAACAGAGGTGTGAAAGGCAACAAAAGACTGTTGTGTTTTAAATGAAAGATGTTTGCGTTGTATTTATACACTTGACTGGTTACTAAACAATTAGATATGACATGAATATATGTTGTAAATATTGTTTGTAAAAAGTATGTTAAAACCATAAAGTTGTAAATATGTTATGTTAACTTTAAAGTAAATGATTTTATTTCTTTGCTGAATAATACTTGCAATTATTTGTTTGAGACTGTATTTATTCAAACTTTGATGAATATATAAAAGTAATGGTACTGATACTTAAATACTTCACCAAAAAAAAGTACTGATACTGCAGTACCGAGCTAAAATCTAGTACTGGTACTGGTAATGGTACTGCATAATTTGCCAAGTACTGGTACTGGTACTGAAGTACTACACCCTTAGTACTGATGCAGCTCTGATTGCAAGCAATCCATAAGTCCCCTACCGGTTAGAACCCCAGCAACATTCTGATGGGCCATTGGCCATTCAATTTTACCAGTGAATGAATGACATGAATGAACTTATATCTTTTGAGTTCAAAGTTTGTCTATATCACAGTTATGTGTTAAGTTTCCCTGCCTAGTAAGGAAATTATGTTTATACAACCTTGTCATATTATTACGATGTGGGATTTTAAAGTAAATCCTATAAGAAATGAAGAAGTTGGAGTGAAAAATACAAATTTCTCGAAAAAAATCTAAGTTCAAGGAGGAGATAATTCTTGAAATAATCTTGCTAGAGTTAAAAACCTTCTCAAAAATGTTGATTGATAATAAGAAACATATATATGAAGTTTGAAGTAGATACATTAGGAAATAAAGAAGTTATTTAAAAAAGACAACATTTTTTTCATTAAAATTCTAAGTTCAAGGGAGGTAATACTGATAATTTTTGTGCTAGAGTTGTAAACCTTGTCACATATGATGTGGTTGATGACAAGAAACTTATATTTAAAGTCTGAAGTAAACACCTTAAGAAATAAAAAACTTATAGTGAAAAAGCTGAAAAATTTAAATCAGAAATCTTGAAATTCAGGCTATTTGTTGCCATAGCAACCAGAATTTTCAACATAGAAAAGAAAAAAATGTGCATAATCTCCAGACTGCCATCTACCCATATTTCAAGTTTCATAAAAATATTTTCAGTACTTTTTGAGTTATCACTGGATCCAGTTTATGTGTTAAATTTGCCATATTTTCAGACTATTTGTTGCCATAGCAACCAGAATTTTCAACATAGGAAGAAAAAAAACTAGAAATGTGTCATCATGCCACGGATGCCCCCGCATGCAGCCAAAATTTCAGATGGTGCATTAATTATTTTTTTCATTTTAAGTTCAAAGCCCTTAAAACTTTTCAATGTTAACACAAACCATTTCCATACAATGTTCAAAGCACTGAAATTATTCAGTCTTAACCTTTTAGAAATAGCATATTGCATATTTGTAGCCAAAATAATGGCTAAAAGAATGAGTAGTGAAACTGAAAGTTCAAAATTTTTCCAACATTCAGGAAAGATAAGTTTGTCTAAAATCATTGAACCATGACCAAATTCCAACTAAAACTGCTTATTCCTAAGATGTATCTATATTATTTTCAAAGTGAAAGGGACATAACTCTGCCAAAAAAATCGTCAAACCATGACCAAATTCCAACTTGACCTGCCCATTCCTTTGACATATCCATATGTCAAATTAAAGTTGAATATGTGACACTGTTGGGTAGATAATGAACAGAAACTGTAAATTTCATATTATTTTCAAAGTGAAAGGGGCATAACTCTGCCAAAAATCATTGAACCATGACCAAATTTGAACTTGACCTGTATTTTTTCATGACATATCAATATGTCAAGTTTGAGTTGATTGTGTTGTACCATTGGGGAGATAATAAACGGAAACTGAAAATTTCATATTACTTTCAAAGTGAAAGGGGCATAACTCTGCCAAAAATCATTGAACCATGACCAAATTTGAACTTGACCTGCGCATTCCTTTGACGCATCCATATGTCACGTTTGAGTTGAATGTGTTGTACCTTGAGGGAGATAATGAACGGAAACTGAAAATTTCATATTATTTTCAAAGTGAAAGGGGCATAACTCTGCCAAAAATCATCGAACCATGACCAAATTTGAACTTGACCTGTATTTTTTCATGACATATCAATATGTCAAGTTTGAGTTGATTGTGTTGTACCATTGGGGAGATAATAAACGGAAACTGAAAATTTCATATTTTTTTCAAAGTAAAAGGGGCATAACTCTGCCAAAAATCATCGAACCATAACCAAATTCGAACTTGACCTGTATTTTCTCATGACATATCCATATGTCAAAGTTTGAATTGAATGTGTCCAACCGTTCTTAAGATAATGAACGGAAACTGAAATTTCATATTATTTTCAAAGTAAAAGGGGCATAACTCTGCCAAAAATCATCGAACCATGACCAAATTCGAACTTGACCTGTATTTTCTCATGACATATCCATATGTCAAATTTGAGTTGAATATGTCCAACCGTTCTGAAGATAATGAACGGAAACTGATGATGACGGAATGACAGAATGATGGAAGGATGGAAGGACGGAAGGACGGAATGACGGAACAGGGTAACACTATATGCCCCGGCCATTACATGGCGGGGGCATAACAAGACGTGCATAATCTCCATACTGCCATCTATCTATATATAAAGTTTCATAAAAATATTTTCAGTACTTTTTGCGTTATCGCGGGATCCAGTTTTGTGCACGGACGGACTGACAGACTGACAGACAGACGGACGGACAGACGGAGGGTAAACCTAAAGTCCCCTCCGGTTAAACCGGTAGGGGACTAATAACCAGTAGTTACCAATTTCTTAGCATGTGATAAGCTGTGAATCAGCCAGGAGAAACGAATGACCATCAGACTCAATGTCCGGAATTAAAATTGTTGCAGAGAATTTTGCCTTGACCAAGGATTGAACCAGCAACCCTGAATTACAAATCTGATTCTCTCACTATTGACCTAGGCCTGTAGACAGTAACCAGAGATTTTAAAGCAATTAAACATTAAAATTAATTTCATTCAATTATTCAAGTTCATTGATTTATTAACAAAACCTTTGATATAACAAATGTATATTCCATTAAAATCAAAAATGTAATTTACCCTTGTTTGGACACAAGCTATAATCGGTTCCATCTCAGATACCAGGAATGGTCCAACCTGAATAAATGGAACACGTCCTGAAATTAAATAAAAACATAACTGATATCAGTATTAATGTACTGAAAAGAAAAAATAAATATTTTCCCTGACCTTAGATATGATAACAGACTTGACTTAAAACTAGACCTATCACTGAAGGTGATTAATACAGCAACTTTGACTTAAAATAAGTGGTCTGAAGAACAAGAGCCACCGCCAGGCGGGGGCAATGCTCGACTTTTACTTTCTCTAAAAGCAAACAAAAGAATGTTTGAACAAAATCTTAACGTTTCCTTTTTATAAAATTAATCGGTCTATTTTGTCACATTAGTTTTGTCTATATATTTGTATATATAAACTATTATATATATATAAATAGAAACACGCAATTCTATAAATAGAAACACGCAATTCTATCAATAGAAAATTCTAAAAATAGATACACGTGGTGTCACTTGGTGGAGTCACGTGGAGGGAGACGTGATGTAGTCACCGTGTGGAGTCACGTGGTGGAATCACGTGGTTGTGTCACCTGATTGAGTCACGTGGTGGAGTCACATGGTGGTGTCACGTGGTGGAGTCATGTGGTGGAGTCATGTGGTGGTGTCACGTGGTGGAGTCATGTGGTGGAGTCACGTGGTGGAGTCACATGGTGGTCTCACGTGGTGGTGTTAAGTGGTGGAGTCACGTGATGGAGTCACATGGTGGTGTCACGTGGTTGAGTCACATGGTGGTGTCACGTGGTGGTGTCACCTGGTGGAGTCATGTGGTGGAGTCACGTGGTGGAGTCATGTGGTGGTGTCACGTTTTGGAGTCCAGGGTGGAGTCACATGGTGGAGTCACGTGGTGGATTCTTGGGTGGAGTCACATGGTGGAGTCACGTGGTGGAGTCACGTGGTGGATTCTTGGGTGGAGTCATGTGGTGGAGTCACATGGTGGAGTCACGTGGTGGAGTCATGTGGTGGTGTCACGAGGTGGAGTCACATGGTGAAGTCATTTGCTGGTGGTGTCACGTGCTGGTGGTGACATGTGGTGGTGACAAGGTCTTGTCCTTTAGTATGTTCTGTTATAATATGAAGGTGATCCCTTCAATAATAGCAAAGTTACAGCCAGTTACAGCAAAAACAATGAAAAGGTCAAGGTCAATAATGAGTGAAGGTCAAGGTCTGTCTGGTTATTTATAAGGGTTAACCTTGAAGATTATTATGTTCAAGTTTGAAGACAATCCATTCAAAAATAACAAAGTTATAGCCAATAATAGCCAAAAAAAATAAAATTTCAATAATTTGACATTCAAAGTCAAGGTCATTTATGAGTGAAGGTCAAGGTCTCTCGGATTATTTTTAAGGGATATCCTTGAAGATTATTATGTTCAAGTTTGAAGACAATCCATTCAAAAACAAGATATGTTTGTAAAACATGTATGCCCCCTATCAGCAGCCAATTAGTCATGTGATCAGGTTATTATGCATGACTTCTGACCCAGTGAACAAACAATTAATAAGGGTTATCTAGTATCTTCTGGTCATGTCTAGTCACAAGGTAATAATTATTGTGACCCCATAGGTTGTGTGCAGCAATTTAAGTTATTACAAATCTTACCAAATAATATATGCATAAATTTTATGAATCATGTAGGCCTCATTAATAACAGCCAAGTTGTTATATTACATAAGACCTTCAAATGTGTTTACCAAAAGTTTTTTTAGTTCAATATAAAAATATCAACCAAGGCAACTTGAGTTGTTGAGTTACTGGTCATTAAGTACAGGGTCAATATGAGATTGACCCCTTGATCCCAAAATCAAAAGGGGTCATCTACTGGTCATGACCAATCATCATATCAAGTTTGAAGTTCCTAGGCCTAAGCGTTCTTTAGTTATTGATCGGAAACCGTTTTTACCTACAAAGTCAATGTGACCTTGACCTTGGACCCCTTGACCCCAAAATCAATAGGGGTCATCTGCTGGCCATGACCAATTATCATACCAAGTTTGAAGTTTCTAGGCCTAAGCGTTCTTAAGTTATTGATTGGAAACCGTTTTTACCAACAAGGTCAATGTGACCTTGACCTTTAATCCAAAATCAATAGGGGTCATCTGCTGGTCATGACCAATCACTATACCAAGTTTGAAGTTGCTAGGTCTAAGCGTTCTTTAGTTATTGATCAGAAACCGTTTTTACTAACAAGGTCAATGTGACCTTGACCTTTGACCCCTTAACCCAAAAATATACAATAGGGGTCATCTGCTAGTCATGACCAATCACCATACCAAGTTTGAAGTTCCTAGGCCTAAGGGTTCTTTAGTTAATTGATCGGAAACCCTTTTTACCTAAGAAGTCAATGTGACCTTGACCTTTGACCCCTTGACCCAAAATCAATAGGGGTCATCTATTGATCATAACAAATCACCATATCAAGTTTGAAGTCCCTAGGCCTAAGGGTTCTTTAGTTATTGATCAGAAACCATTTTTACCTAAAAGGTCAATGTGACCTTGACCTTTGACCCCTTAACCCCAAAATCGGTAGGGGTCATCTGCTGGTCATGACCAATCACCATACCAAGTTTGAAGTTCCTAGGCCTATGGGTTCTTTAGTTATTGATCGGAAACCGTTTTTACCTAAGAGGTCAATGTGACCTTGACCTTTGACCACTTGACCCCAAAATCAATAGGGGTCATCTACTGATCATGACCAATCACCATATTAAGTTTGAAGTTCCTAGGCCTAAGGGTTCTTTAGTTATTGATCAGAAACCGTTTTTGCTTACAAAGTCAATGTGACCTTGACCTTTGACCCCTTGACCCCAAAATCAATAGGGGTCATCTACTGGTCATGACCAATCACCATACCAAGTTTGAAGTTCCTAGGCCTAAGGGTTCTTTAGTTATCACTCGGAAACCATTTGGTCTACGGACCGACGACCAACGGACCGACAAGTGCAAAGCAATATACCCCCTCTTCTTCGAAGTGGGGGCATAATAACAAAGTTACAGCCAATAACAGCATGAACAAGCAAAATTTGGACTTTTAACCTTGAAGGTCAAGGTCATTTATGGATGAAGGTCAAGGTTAGTGTGGTCTACTGAAAGGTTTTGTCCCAAAGGTTGTTGTGGCCAAGTATGAAGACAATACACCAAGAAATAAAAAAGTTATGACCCAGGTACAAGTTTGCGGACGACAACGGCAACGGCGTCGCGACTATAGCAATACCTCTACTTTTTTTTTTCAAAAAAAAAAAGTCGAGCTAAAAATGTTAACTCATCCGATAGTAAATTAAGTATCAACTGTCTACAAAAAATTATTTCAATTGATAGCAATCTCAAACAGGCTCTTCATAAAAGCTTGCAATACATCAAGTTTAATTACAATATCTCGTTCCTAACTCTAGTTCTTGTCTGTAAACCATTTTCCTATTTTTAGTAACAGAGACCTTGACCCCAGGGGGTCTTGAAATGCAATACCAACTGGGGTTTCCACATAAGGTTGCTATATTATAGTAAGTTTGATTACTATGAAACATACTCTCTTTTTGATCCATATCTATTTGTTAATTACTTTACATTCACGTTTTTGCGCAAATTTGTCACGTTGACGTTGGCGTCCTAACGGACGTGACGTCAAATAAACTGTACTTTGTCCGTTATTCTGATAAAGACAACAGTCGAAACTAGTAAAGATTAAAGAAATATGTGTTGTTTTTGTGTATTTTGACTGAGTAACTTTGATAACAATACTTAATTCTAAACTCTAGTTTTCGTCCAGAAACCATGAAGTGGACCGACCGACTAGGCGATCACCGACCGACAAGCTGACTCCTATAATATTGCCCCCCTAAACTTCCTTCATGGGGGTATAATAAGACTGCTAATTTTAAAATATCTAGTAAGTAAAATCTCATTTAATTCAGAGACAAGAATAATGTGAGACACAGAATAGACACTGTTCAATTGTATTACATGTAATACTGAAATCACTTAATTTTTAATTCTAATTGAATATTGTAAATTAAAAGCAGAGGCTGCATTCATAAACTCTTTTAAACATTTCATAAACATTTCACTCAGTGTCTTAGATATACTTCAGTAAACTGTAATAGAACCTCATTAATCAATTTGATGCAGTTAAATAAAGGCCCTGAAATGAACTTATTTCATATGCTTAAATTAATGAACAAAAACCAAAAAACCAATCAGATGGCAAGTATGTATAAAACACGCCCTGTATAAATTGTAGAAAGGATCATGATTCGGAGGCACCCATCAGTGGTTTATACAGTGCCCATTTTCATACATATCCAAGCATACCCACTTGGTTTCAAGTTTTCCATTGTGAAATATAAACACATCTAAAAAATTTTAATTACAGTGGTCTTCTTCTTCATAGATTTTTCACTTATCCTATCAAACAAACAGGCTACATTTTTCTTTCCCAATACCTCAGATTCTTTTTGTAAGTATGAGCAGATGAGTGGAATTTTTCAAATTGTGGTCATAGAATTTAATTGAATTAAAAGAATTTTTAAAAAAAGTTCATGCTATATACAATAGATAATTTTGCGTAAGTTTACCTGAAGGTGACATCTCCTCTGCATTTATTTTAAGCTCTGTTGTAAACTTCAGTCCACACATGTGAAGGTATGTCTTAACACTCAGACATGCAGCATAGTCAGGGAATGTAATCTGTTCAACTATAAACATAGAAATCATGAAATGTAATCTGTTCAAATATAAACATAGAAATCATCATTCATGAAATGCAATTTGTTCAACTATAAACATAGAAATCGTGGAATGTAATTTGTATATAAACATAGAAATCATGGAATGTAATTTGTTCAAATATAAACATAGAAATCATGGAATGTAATTTGTTCAACTATAAACATAGAAATCGTGGAATGTAATTTGTTCAACTATAAACATAGAAATCATGGAATGTAATTTGTTCAACTATAAACATAGAAATCATGGAATGTAATCTGTTCAACTATAAACATAGAAATCGTGGAATGTAATCTGTTCCACTATAAACATGGAAAACATGGAATGTAATCTGTTCAACTATAAACATAGAAATCATGGAATGTAATTTGTTCAACTATAAACATAGAAATCATGGAATGTAATTTGTTCAACTATAAACATAGAAATCATGGAATGTAATTTGTTCAACTATAAACATAGAAATCATGGAATGTAATTTGTTCAACTATAAACATAGAAATCATTTATGTATTAATCTATTCATCTATATCATACAAAAGAGCTTTGAGAAAACAAAGTTGGGCAGACATAATGCTAAAATATTGGAAGTTTTGAATTATATGAAGACCTCATAGAACACATAGGCGTTTTCTACTGACCATGCCCCTACCAAGTTTCACAAGTTATAAGTTACATAACTTCTGTAATAAAATGTTATTAGAACAATAAAACTTCAAATAAGTAACTTGATTACCTTGGTATTGTTGAAACAGTTTCACATTGTCCGGCCATCTCTCTGTTGCTGAAAGTATATGACACTGAAATTAACATATCTCATTTTACAATTTATGATTGACATAATATAATGTAAATACATGTAAACATTTACAAATAACACCCAAATCTTTTATACATGCCTGTCAGACTGACAACTATTACAGTTTCAGAGTGGGCCCTACCTATTTGAGTGATACTTTACATGTAGTTTTGACATGTACAGTTTTTTTCTTTTTTTTTTCTGAATCTGACAATACAAAGAAATCTGGCATACTGACAAGTGATAATCAACTCACAAGAAAATTTAAATGTGTGTCTTCTGAACATGTTTACTTTTTCAACTTCTCAATTAGGAATCTGAACACATGTTGGTCTGTGAATGGAAGCACTACGAGTACACAAACTTTTTTAAAGCAGCATGCCTCCAGAGGAAAATATTTACTGTCTCAAGCTACTTAAATAACAGAATCTCCCTTAAATGGGAAATGTCACTTTAAACTGTTTATATTTTAACAATTTTACTGCGGGAATGAAATGTTAGTAAAGTTCTATGATCTGTAACATATAGAATCCAGGATTATATCAAACATAGATGGAAGCAAATAAATTGCTTTGGTTTTATTATTTGTTATAATTTCTGCACTAAATCCCTGGCATACAGGATCTGAGGATTTCTCCGAACCACTGTTATGACACATGACCATGTTGGTAAAAGGATCTTTTCTATTTATTATATATTGGCTACTGTGTTAGTAACGCAGTAGACTGTGACTCCAAAGAAGAAACACATCTGGTCAATAATAATGGATTTACACAATAAACAAAACTTGATCTGTTACTGTATTAAATGTTTCCCTGAAAATTTATTTTTAACCCCATTTTACCATCCAGATGTAAGTGGTTTTAAAAGCTTATAGTATAACATTTGTGTTATGAAATAGGGTTATTAGTGGGGTGCATATTGAAGACTAGCCTGGGATTCAGGCGTTGATATTTTTTTATTTATTCATAACTTACGCGCTTTTTCATACTCGATCGTCATAGATAACACAACATCTCTGGTTTTGATAGTATCAACGCCTGGGGAAACCTGCGGGGTTTCCCATGTAATTATCGACTAAAGATAATCCTATTAATTAATAGACCGATTAGCACGTGACCAACAAATAACATGATTAAATCGAAATCGAGGCGAAGATGATAAATGTTGAAAATTTGACGCCATTTACCATTATAAATTGAGTCCAGCACAATTATCTGATGCTCACACACTTTATCTTCTTTAACTAATCACACCTGTTGATCAAATTCACTTATCATGCAATAAGCTTTGTCAACGAGTGTTAGTTTTTAATAGGAAATGGTGTTTTGAAAGCGAGGCTCCATAACTGTTCGTTGAACTTCGGATCACTTCGTGGAAATTCCGTTTCTATTTTTAGAAACTAGTTTGTTGTTGCATGAATTATCGTTCTTTAATAACACCCGTAATTTTCCGGGTGTATACTAGGTGGCGCTTCGATCGAAAATTGTATTTCCCCAGGCTGTCGATTTTCCGAACAGAAGCACATAAAAAATCGACAGACTGGAACCCAGGCTAATTGAAGACCAATATTGGGTCATGTTCCAAATCCAAAAAGTATGGGTTTTTCCCCCCCATATTTCAAGGAGAAAATTCCTATTCAAGGATAAAATAACAACAAAAATTAAAAAAAAAATCATTGTCATTTTGTGACATAATAACTGCATTGTGTCACAGCAAATAGTACTGTTCCATACCAAATTTTAAAATGTGCTTATGAAAAATATACTTAATTGTTCTGAATGAATCAATATTTGAAATCTTTCCTTTTTATCACAATTCAGGTTTCAACATACTGTTGCACCATTGACATTTATTTATATCATATATGCCACAGCCGAGTTGATTTTTAAAAAATGGAAAAAGAAGAAACAGTTTGGTTTGCCTTTATGGTCGCCAAGTTAATGTGCTCAACCCATGAGAGATCATACGGGTAAGTCAAAGGCTTGCTTTGCATGTCCGTGCTTTGGTTGCACAGGTATAGACTACACATGTATATTTAAAAGAATATCGAATAAAAAAAAACAATTAAAGTATATATAGAATTCTTTACTGATCAATGAAATTTCAGTTTTTCAGTGTCAGTTCTACTCAGAAGTTCTATTTGTGTGCCGCCATTTTCAATGACAATGTAACTCAATGATAATAGACAGGGTCTTCCGATAAGGAACAATTGCAACTTTCGGATTAATAATATCTGTCGAGTATACTGAGTGACGGAAGTCGTGCATGAAATACCTAATGACACCTCTAAAACTAAAAAATAAACGATTTTTTAACCGACCACCGTTTATAGGCTTTGCCTAATTTGATACATAAATGTCAAGGACTAGGTTATTAGCAACTGCCTTTTTGTAGTTCCATTGAAGAGATTAATTAGTAGGTAAAGAATGTTTTCCCCTGATTTCTTTACAGTTGTATAGGTTGAACTTGAAATCCTTGTCCAAATTCAGTCCCCACTTCCATTTGTAACTGTTGTAAGCTATCTAAGCCTTTTTAAAGAGTTTCTTATAGTTGGCCTGAGGTTATCATCGCATTTTCTACATGAGCAGTTCAGTGATCCGGATCAAGATTATAATGCAATGGACGTTTGTGTTTAAATTAGACGGAATGTCAGACTCAAAATATTAAACTGTTAAAAACATCATCGCGAAAACCAGTAACAATAGAATTTCTTGTCTAAAATAAAAAAACTTACCACCCAATTCAATTTTCACAGCTTCAGTCAATAATGATGTCATGTGAACTATTTAGTGTGGTCCGAGCCAAAGGTGACTTCAAATAAATGCAGCTTGATAATGCTAAAACAGATGTCCTCTACGTCTGTGTCAATGGGCGCTTGAAAAGATAGTGTACGGCGTGCACGTGAAACAGACTAAAAATTAATGTTTCTGAAACGAGTGAGACAAATAAAGGATTGGAGCACCACACTAAATACCGTATTCCGGTAAATACCGGACAAGGCGCTTGAATCGTAAAATGCCAAAATCTTGCTTTTTTACGCAACGGAATGAACTTTAATAGGTCTAATTCATCTTTTCACTCTGATTTATGTATGATAATGCATGAAAAATGTTAAAATCAGCGAAAAAAACGATATTTGTCTATTTTGTGATCATGATTTCTGCAAGCGTCTAGAGGTACTGCTCCAATCCTGTATTGAGCTAAATCCTTCTGAAACACGCTCGGAAAACGATTTATTTATTTATCACACACCCGTGCCGATTTTGCGACTCCGTAAATATGGTATTGCACGGCCGTGCATATATTTTGACGTGACGTCATTAGCGTTATACAAACATAGTGTAAAGACGCGCTAAATGTTAGCGTTATACTATAGACGCGTCAATGAAAAATGACTCTTATTTCACTTAAAACGGTCTTTATTTTGGGTTTGTGATAAAAAGAATATTAAATTCATGTAAGTTCATTACTGAATTTATTGCACGAGTTGAATAAAATAATATTATGCTCGCCAGAGGCTCGCATAATATAATTTTATTCAACTCGTGCAATAAATTCAGTATTGAACTTACACTCATTCAATATCCTCTATTTATTTATTTATTGCTTACAGCTCTGGTGTAACTGATATTATAATTATAACCACGGATTTATGTAACATAAATCCGTGATAAAGCTGAAATTTGATGGATACGTTATTGTGACTAGATCTACAGTGTAGGTAGCCTAGTCTTATAACACAGGGGCAACATTAATCAACATGCTGACAGAATTTTAACAATATCTGTCTGCCCATTTGATTGTACGGTGTGGTCGTGCACCTATCGCGTGGCCTTCGCGTGCCCTGCGAGTTAACTACTTGGTAAAATATTGAATATTTAAGGTGACTTCGAGTGTGGAACAGATGCCATCGCGTGACCTTCTGTAGGAATCGTACTTGCTTCGGCTGTTGATAGGCTGTACATAGACGAATTTCTATTCTATTTCTTTAGAAATAAGACGTGTATACGTTTCAGAGATATCCTTTACATTATTTTTCTAATTTTAGAATGGCAATGAGATTCCCTGATTTCAGTTTGTAATCTTAAAATGACCAATAAATATCCTACCTATATTCAGTTTCTCCCTGTATATTTTACAGGGAGTCAAACCTTTTTAAGACGGACTTCGTCCAAATAATAAAATAAAGAGAAATCATTCATCTACACTGCACTCCTCTTTTGTGAGATTTGTACGCTCAAGAGGTTAAAGTGTGTATCTCAAATAACATTTTAGTTTTGATCCTAAGCGTTTGGTCTTACTTACAAACCAAACATTTTTTCTAGCTCATGTTTTTGAGTGGTTTAAGTCAACTTTAATCAATTATGCCGATGATTACGTGTCAAATGAAGTCGAACATAACGTCATTATTTAATTTACTCATGAAATATGGTGCTATATATCAGTCAAATATATTTCAAATATATTTCTTTTTTTAAAAATTAATATGAATTTAATGTGAAAAACACTTGCATACAAAAGAAATTCCTTATGTAAGTATTATTTGTAATATCTGGACATTCCTGGTACTAAGTACCTCCCGGTATAAGGTTCTTATACCATTTAAAATGCGAACACTTAATTTAAACAATAACTGTCGGATTATTTACTAAATACAGACATTTACTTTAATTACCACTGGAAATACCACGTGCCACTCCTCGACACACTTTGGGTGATAATTTAATTTTTTTTTAAAGAAAATCGAAATGTAATTCTACCCCTGGCTTTCTTCTATATTTACTCATTTTGTTCGGATTTTTATGCAGTCTTCATCGAGATATTCTTTCCTTTGTGGGTTCTGATGTGCCCAAAATATGCAATGCGTATGAAAAAAATGTCGCAAAATGAAAAATGTCGCAAAACGGACTCCATATACAGAGTTTTCATAAAATATAACGACCAAACGATGTTTAATATTCAAACAAACTCTTATTGAACATTTATTGAGACTGGGCTCAAAATAAAGGAATTGATGGTCAAAAATCCAGCTGAGCTTCATATGGGCTGAAGAGATCCATATGTGATTTAGGAAAGCATCTACAAAACTTCGGATCACTTTCATGTAGTAATTGAGTAGCCAATCTAAAGGAACAATTAAAGTTCCGTAGCTTTAGCTGAAAGTTCATTAGTCCGTGTGTTTGGTAATTAAATACAACGACCTCAATAATCTGGTGCTATCAATAAAAGTCTAAAAATACCGAGTATATAAAATTTTGACACAGCTAATACTACTAATACGATAAATAATTTCCCTCATAACAGGGTCTTTCAAATATTTGATATATCAATAGTTGTTTCAATAAGGTTAAGAATCATTTAATGGTTAGATTTTGTGTATTTGGAATCCATTTGGCGACATTTTCTTCATACACATTGTATATTTTATAAATATAGAAGAAAGTTGGGAGGGTAGAATCACATTTCGATTTTCTTTTTAAAAAGTTTTAAATTTTATATAAATGTTTAAACCCTGTGATTGACCTTTTTTCTCCTTCATATATCGAGTTATAGCACACATCTGGATTAGCGGAAATTCACATATATTTTTACCGATGCTCAATTTTGAGATCCATATGGGGTTCAACCCCCCCCCCCCCCCCCCCCCCCCACCCTTGTATAAGGTCTCCTCCATAATGCAAGTTGACATTTAAATATACAACTGTATATGTAATGTAAATAATGAACTCTAACTTTTTGTTTTGTTCAAACTGTAAAAGAAATGACATTGTATGTGATTCATGGGGAATCTTCAGTAATTGCTATCACCTTGAACTTTGACCTTCACAATGAAGAATAGCGCAATGGATTCGTTTCTTAATTCATTTTATTCTTTTTCTGTCCGTTTGTTTTCATTTTAATACAGAAAATGGGAATCGATCTATAACTTGAGCTGCTCGAGCCGTGGTTTTGATATATCATTATTTGAGATACACAACGATGTAATTAGACCTTTATATATCAATTCCATAAATAAAAAAACATCTGAAAAAGGAATCTCCGTTGAGGGCAATGACAACAAAGAGTCTTTTACGAAAATAACTAGCTCAACAGTGTATAATTAGTTCGAAATTTAATATCGTGAATACATGTATTTCCAAAAGAATGTAATCCTATGCTAAATCAGTTGACAAAGTCAATAATGGGCTTTACAACCATGATAAATTTGTGAATAACTTAATATTTTTTGTTTGGTTATGTTGTACGTCGCACCAGCACAGTATAGGTAATATGGCGACTTTCTAGCTTTATAGGTGGAGGAAACCCCATGTGCCTGTCCATGCATTATTTTAACACGAACGCACGGACGTTTTGTAAGCTAGCTGACTAAAGATAGATTCCTCACATGAAAAAATCCAAAGTCCCTGGCGGGATTCGAACCCACAGCGGCGAGAGGCAAGTGGTTTGATTAGCTTAATTCTTCCTTTTCGCATTTGGATAACTAATTCTAAATTGTATCTGATTTTCACTTTCGGTTATTAGTTATACGAAAGCATATAACTGAATTGTACCTTCAAGTAGCAACTACAGTAAAAACTCTGAAAACCGGACCTTCTGAAAACCAGAATCCTGTGAAAACAGGGCGATATTAAAAGTCTCCTATTTTTTCGTTATAAGTTCATTGAAAAATAACCTCTAAATACCGAAACCTCTGAATTTCGAAAACCGGACAATTTCCTATGACTACTAATGCTAAATATGCAGGCAAAATCCTCGGAAAACCGGACCGAAATTTAAGTGTTTCATATCAAAACTTTGAAATAAGAACATATTCAGTCGGGGCGCACAGAGAAGGTAAAATGATAACTATGTGATTACTAGCAGACTTTTCGTTTAATTGTTATTCTTGTCTTGTTTATCATTATTGAAGATATCTCACAATGATGATACATGCAAAAGGGATAATTGAGTATACCTTTTATTTTTCTATATAATGTACGAACATCTTTTCTTTTATTGCGGAATAATATATTGTCAAAAAATGTAGTCTAAATTTTGGTTATCAAATGGGCTGATAAATATGAAAAATTTACTGATAATCACTATGGTTTTCAAAAGACTACATCGAATTATTGACTGTGTTTATGTTTTACATGCTATTGTTGCAATTTCTTTCTATCCTACTTGAGAAATTGATAAGATGCTTTATGCAAATAAAATTAATATTTAATAATATTTGCTTAGCAGGCGTTACAGTAAATGGCCTCTTACTTTCCAGAAATTGGCCTCTCACTTTACGGTATATGACCTCAGTAATTGGCCTCTCACTTTACGGTATATGACCTCTCAATTTACAGTAATTAACCTCTCATTTTACAGTAAATGGCCTTTCACTTAACAGTAATTGACCTCTCACTTACAGTTATTGACCTCTCAATTTACAGTAAATGACCTCTCACTTTACAGTAATTAACCTCTCACTTTACAGTAATTGACCTCTCATATTACTGTAAATGGCCTCTCATTTTACTGTAATTGACCTCCACTTTACAGTAGTTAACCTCTCAATTTACAGTAATTGGCCTCTCAATTTACAGTAAATGACCTCCCACTTTACAGTAAATGGCCTCTCACATTCTAGTAAATGGTCTCTGAATCATTTAATCTGTTCTGGTATCTTATCTCTTTCTGTTTCAAGGAGGCTGCCGTCTGCGATCCGACAGTCCGGCAGGACTCTCATATCTCAGGGCTAAACGGAGAAAAGTAGGGAGAGTTAGACTAGGAGTTTGACAAGGTAAGGAAATTGAGGTCGGGTATTTGGTATAATAGATTAGAAAAACGTGTGTAAATGAATATAAATGAATATAAATGTGTATGGATTTGAAATTGTTGTAGGAGATTTTGTCCTTTTTT